CATCAACCGGCGCACAACGCCTAAGACGACGTGCTTACCCCTCAGCAAGGAGGCATTACATGAAGGAAATGCCAATGCATCGTCGAGGAAGATTTTTTAAAATTCATTTTCGCTTACCCATCAGCAAGGAGTCATTCCCCGAAGGAAACGCCAATGCGTCATCGAGAAAGATTTTTGAGAGTAGCATATTCTTCTCTGGTGTTAGTGTGGAATTTAAGGAGACTATTTTGCAGGATTTGGGATTTCGGGAGGGTTCCCTCCCAGTGAGATATCTCGGAGTTCCATTGTTATCTACTAAGCTTAAAGCTGTGGACTACCAAAGGCTGGTTGATAGTATCACTGCCAAAACTAGAAGTTGGACCAATAGGGACCTTACTTATGCGGGGAGAGTCCAACTTATCAAGAACATCTTGTTCTCAATGCAAACGTATTGGTCCTCCCTGTTCATTTTACCAAAAAAGGTCATCAAGGAAGTTGAATCTATCCTTAGGGCCTTTTTGTGGTCTGGCCCTGACCTTAAAAGATCAGGGGCTAAGATAGCTTGGGAGCAGTTATGTGCTCCTAAAGATGAGGGGGGTCTTGGGTTCAAATCTATGGAGGTATGGAATAAGGCTGCGGTTGCCAAGCATATATGGTTCTTGATCTCCGGGGGAGAGCAATCCATGTGGTGCCAATGGGTTAAATCCTATTTATTAAAGGGTAGGAATTTTTGGAGCCTTAAAATGCCAGCTGACCCCTCTTGGGTTTGGCGTAAATTACTTAATCTAAGACATTTAGTCCAACCCTTCATTCGTCATGTTATTGGCAATGGGGAGAACACATCCATGTGGTGTGACCTTTGGCATCCGTTAGGCCCGTTGTTGGATAAGTTTGGCTCCAGAATTGTTTACGACTCTGGCCTTCCCTTGAGTGCCAAAGTGTCCCACATAGTTCACAATTTTAGTTGGACTTTCCCAATCACGCAAACATGGGAGTTGAATGAAGTTAGACGGCATCTCCCACCGTTGCGGGGCTCCAGGGACCAAGTTAGTTGGACTCTAAATGCATCTGGACAATTTAGCATAGCCTCTCTATGGGAGGAACTGAGGGTTTCTTTCCCCAAGGTTAATTGGCACAAGGCTGTTTGGTTTTCAGGCCATATACCTAAGTGTAGCTTCATTACATGGCTGGCCATCCAGGGTAGACTCTCCACTGAGGATAGATTAGTCCTGTTTGGGATTAAATCAATTTCCTAATGCAGTTTTTGCCATGGTAGTGAAAGCCATGATCATTTGTTCTTCAATTGTAGTTTTTCCACACGGGTCTGGAATGCTATGTTGGCCCCTAAGTATTGGACAGCATGGATTACCCACTTCTCCTCATTTAGGGGAAAATCTCTAAAGAATGTTGTCTCTAAGTTGATATTCACTACTACAGTGTATCATATTTGGATAGAGAGGAACTTAAGGAAGTTTCAAAATACAAATAGCACCTGGGAAGTTGTTGTTCACAAAATCTTTAACATGGTTAAGGGTAGATTACTTTCGTTGCCAAAGTTGCCAGTAGGCTCACAAAATAATAGGTTTATTAGAGTTTGGGGCATTGGGTAATGAGGAACTTGTGTATTTGTGTATTTGTGTACTTGTGGCCATGGTTGTAGATGCTTTCTCTGCAGGGATGGCCAGCAGGCAGGCTGCTTTGTGCAATGTTTATAGTTCAAGGGGGGATTCAGAAGGGCCATGCAGTTATTAGGCTCCTATTACCTCTAAGTATTCAGGTAGTTAACTTACTCCCTTTGGTTGCCTTGGATTGAACAGCAGGTGTGTGTCCCTACTATATTGTGAGTTATCCCAGTGAGTTGTGTGCTAGTTCCCCATCAATCCTTGTGAGAGGAGGTAATATTTAGTGGGGGATTCATGTGAGAATTAGAAGAGGGAGAAGGGGTTACCCAGCTCTTGGTTTTGTTCTTGAGAGTGAGTGGTGTGTGGTTGAGGTAATGTTTTGTTCTTGGTTCTGTTCTGCATTTCTGCATTTGGTTGCTGCATTGGGTTGCTGCTGATAGTCATCTGTTTTGGTTCAGTAGTTGCATTTCTGCTGTTGACTGATGACTGCTGAATAGTGTGCTAGATTTTAGTGATGTCACTGTATCTGATGCTGTAACTAGGTTCAGCAGTCCAGTGTGAACTGCTGCTGCTGCTGTTTACCTAGAACCTTACCTGTTTGTATAGAGTTACACTGCTATCTGTTATCAGTCAAGTTACACTATTCAGTAGTTTCTGATGTGATGGTGGCTGCTAGTATAGCAATTAGGCAAAGTTAAAAGCAGCCTTGTTGCTCCATGTTGATAAGAATAAAAGCAGCCTTGTGAACTCTGAGTTGTTGCTACTTCTACTGATCTGAACCTGATCTGAATATCCATGAGTTAGCAGGTTCAGTTTTGATCGCAAGTTCTGCTTGGCCATCTATGTTTGGGCATTTGTTGTTGCTTGCCTAACCAATAGGGGCTGTCATTGGGATCTCC